ATCATCTTTGGATGGTGCTTCCTGTCTCCCCCTTGTATCCTGGGGCTGAGGCCACTAGGATTCACAGTACTGCTTGCTCAGGGCTAAGCCGAGGCGCTGGGCTCTACATGACGCCAAAACCTGACTGAAGGATCTCGTACCTCTGTGTTCCATCTGGGTTATTCAAGGATGAGGACAAAGGCAGTCTGATGCTGTCCCACTTTTTTTCCCTCTGGTCCTGCTGACCCTCTTAAGTGCACGCTCTGGCACTAGGGGACGAGGAGGGATGAGCCCTATCCTGTTTGAAGTATTATAATCCTTTCAGATGGCATTAGTTCCTAGGCCAGCAGCAGATCTATAATTGAACCTCCTGTTTGCAGGGCCCCCGCGCTTCAGTGAGACTTCTAAATCTCATTTGTATAATGCCTAGTTGCAATTCCTGCTGAAAGATTGCCCTCTGCCTCCAGTGCCCCCAAGCCTGCTGAGCACAAAGATGTTCTCACTGGCAGAGGAGTGACAGAGCGTGACCAGGCAGCAGCATGCTGCATGGCATCTGAGTTTCCAGAGCTTTCACGTGTTTATTGGAGCTTTTGGTAGGCTGATGTAAGTTTTTATTTCCCCCTCCTCTCCTGTTTTCTAATGCCTGAGTCCCAGGGAAGGGGCTCGGTGGTGAGTGTTCAGTCAGGTGTTATGTCAGGATGAGATTTTCCAGGGAAAGCTGGATATGAAGGGAAACAAGGTAGAGGCATGTTTGGCTGCTGCCAGACTCCTTTGGGGTCATTTTTGCACCTGCACAGGCAAAATCCTTTTTCTGGCCAAATGGGTTACCTGGAAAACCCTGTCAGCTCTGCCAGCCCCCTGTGCTGGCTTGGGTTTGCTGCCTTCTGAAAGGCTGCTCATGGCACTGGTGTGATTCACTCTGGTCCGAAAGCAGAACTCGGCAGCCCCAAAAGGAAAATGGCTTTTATTTTAGCAAAGGCTTAAGTTCTCTATGTCAAAACAGTGCCACAAAAGAAGAAAGTGAATCAGAATCTCCCCTTGGCTCACACTGCCCACTCCTTGCCTTGCTGGGCAGCTGGAGGCTGGCCCTGGGGACCGGTGTGACCTGCCTGTCCCCAGTCCCTGCTGGCTCCTCTTGTTTCACCCGACATGCCCTTTCCGTGCTGGCTGCCTCTGGGTGGCCAAAGTGCTGCCAGAACTGCCTGTTCTTTGCGCAGTGTCCAGCCTGGCCTGGCCCCCCGTGCCGTGCAGGGTGCCGGGGGCTGCCTGCCGGGGGACGCCGCGGGCCCGCAGCAGCAGCCGGCTGGGCTGCGTGTTCCTCCTTCCCGCTCCAGCGATCCCTGCTGTACTGTAATCACACAATTATTATGCCATTAAAATGTCATATTCGCAGAAATCCACATAAACAAGGCATTAGCAGTTGCCAGAAAATTGTAGTTTTGCTGCTAATGACCCATTTTCCCCCCACAGAACCACTCCTTTTGTTCTTAAATATTATTTTTTCCCTTCTTTGTTTCTTTGCTATTTTTTTTTGTTTCATTTTGTTTTGTTTCTGAGCTATAATTTAAGAGGCAGATGACGAATTACGTCTTTGCACTGAGAGGCTTTTAATCTTTAATATACAGTTACAGTGAAAAGCTGCCTCTGTGCTTGCTCTGGGCTGTGTGCCCTAAGCCAACAAGGGTGATGGGTGGTTTTGGAGGAGTTGCCTTTAGTGGGTCATTTTTTGGGGGGTGCTTTCCTGAAATGGCAGAGAAAGCTTTTGGGGAGCCCTGCTCTTGGCTGGGTGCTGGTGTCAGATGGAAACTTACCTCCACAATAAATTTGTCTCCATCTTCTTGTGAGTGTCCCTCTTGTTGACCACCCCTGGGGATCCCCAGTGTGGTCTTGGAAGAGGCAACACTTGTTTGCCAAGAGCAGACATCTGCCCCTTGGATACATTTTTATTCTCTTTCAGGCTCATTGAGTCTCTCCAACTCTTTTAAGCATCGACTGTGTTTCCTTATAATTAATACCAGTCATTAAACTGCAGTGTTGAAAGAGAAATTACCTAATTCCAAGAAAAAAAATGAAAATTTATTACTGGTACGTGAGAGAAAATGAATAGGAAACTTGGAGAGATGAGCCCTGTAGAAGATAAATAGAAAGGCAAGTGGAGTATTGACTTGATCCTTTTCTAGTGCAGGGTAATTTGGCCTCTAAAGTGAGTTAGATCATAATAAATTAAATTTAGATTTCTGCACATCAGTTAAATAACTCCCAAGACAGAATTCTGCTGTGAGGAAGAGGTGATAATACATTGCAGAAATACTGTCATGAAGACCTTGTCTGGTAACCTGTAACCAATGTGCTGTCCCTTGGTGAGCAAAGGGGATTTCTTCTGATGCTTTGACTCTCATTCCCTGTCTCTGGTCAGGTGCAGGTGAGAAACAGGGGAGTCCATGTGTGCATGTTGATGAGATTTCCTGCTTCCTGCTGCTTGCAGAGCTGGGAGCTTTTCGTGCTTTCCTCTTCTGCTTTGAGCAGGTATGTTTTGCCGAGGTCAGTGTGCACCTGTGTCTGAGACGAGCATTCTGCTCCAATTTCAGTTACCCTTTTAAGGGAGGCTTGGGATGGAAAGAACACCCAGAAGATTTGGAAAAGCAAATGACCAACCTCCAGTATCTACCTCTGGCTGAGAAAGCGAACCCAATCCCTGGTCTTGTTTTGTGGCCAGATAGGGATTAAAACAACTCTTTAATCTCTGGCATCTAGTTACTGTTGATCTCAGGTGTGTATTTAATTACCCAATATTTAGTTTCCATCCCACTGATAGCTTTTCTCAGCCCAAAGAAGAGAACCTGGGTGAATCAGGGTGGGCTGGTGTCTTTCAGGTGGACATTGCACAGGAGTATTAATTAGTCACTGCAGAGTGAACTAGGAATGCAATCCTGGAATGCAAGGTATACCCAGAACAGGATGAGAGGTGAATACTGTGGGGTAAGGCACTGGTGTTTGTCCATGTATCCATTTAGTACTGGGACCCCATCCCTGGTAAAAGGCCGTTAGTGGAGTTGGATGCTGGAAAAATGGCATCCCAGACCATGGAGGACCCTGCCATGTGTCAAGCCCTGCTTCTGCTGCCTGGCCAGAGCATTGCTGCCCTTGCATTAGATGCAGAAGCTCCAGTTTTATTGAGGGAATCCACCAGCCCTCCCACCTGAGCCATCAGATTCTTGCTCAGGTGCACCCTTCTAGCTGATCCAAGGCTGTCAGGTGTAACTGACATCACAAAAACCAAAACAACATATATACACACATATATAAACACATCTTACAGCCTTAAATGCTGTGTGGCCACTTTTGGAAGCCATTTCTCTTCTTATTAAGTTTGATAAAGCTAACTTTTATTTTTTCTTCACAGCATTAAAATTTAGGGACTGCGGCTCCGGTGGTTGTTTCAGGAGTGCCAGGCCTCCTGGGGTCATCGTGAAATCTTATAAACATCAGGCTGTCGGTGGCTCCGCGATGCAATCGCCTCACTTTTCCCTGATCTTTTACTGTGGTGCTAAATCATGTTTTGCAAGATGCCTTAGAAAAAACATAAACAGCATTTATCACCCTGTGCACGTCAGCCCTCCCGAAAGTCTGCGGCCGGGTTATATGCGTCCTCCTCGTAAAACTCCTGCAGGGACCTTACTGGTTTCATAACTTTCTCCCAGCCTTGAATAACTTTATTCCAGTCCTGAATAGCTTCCTCTCAGTATGGCTGGTGACTCAGAGGTTTCTTCTGATCTTCTTGCACTGGGGTAGGTGCTGGAGGAGGTCCTGAGAAGGCCATGGGGTCTCACCAGGGGAGGATGAATACAACCCTGTGTCTGGAAACCCCCGCATCCCTGGAATTTGTTGGTTCTTTGGGAGTGCTCGTGTCGCCGTAACCCGGAGTGATGTGGGGTGTCCTGTGGCTGGAGGTGCCTGGCTTGCTCCTGTGGTGGTTCACTTGCAGGAGCTGGTGCTCCCTCCTCCCCTTCCTGTGACTACAAAAAATGCACTGCCAGATGCGAGTAAAATCAATTACGGGATAAAAATCGCCCTTTTCAAAAGCTTCATTTTGCGCTATTAGCAGGCAAAATCGGCTTTGAGATGTTGTGAACTGAGAAGGGGGGGGAAAAAAAAAAGAAAAGCAGAAGAAAAGATCAATTATTGGATAAGATCACAATTTTCTTTAGGGCTGAGTTGTCTGTAAATGTTTGCATTTCTCAGTGTTACAGGTAGGCTGAGATCAAAGAGGTTGTGCTGCTGTAGCGATGAGATCTTATCGGCGCTGTTTTGTGCTGGCTGCCTCAGATGCTGCCAAAGGATGCTTAAACCCCGACAGCACCGAGCCACCAAGAAATGCTTAAACCCCCGAAGGTTGTTGAAGCTGCTGGGTAACCCCAAAATGCAGTGCTTCCATCTTTCTGGAGTTGGGGGGGACCACACAGGCACGTGCTTCCCTGCTCTTCTCCCTGCGGTGGGGCTCCGTGGGAGACGTGTGGTGGCAAAGATGGACTGAGATTGGGCTGGGAGCATGATAGCCCCCTTCTTCCAGGGTCCTGTTGCTGGAGCTGGGGCTAGGATGTGGCTGTGGAAATGTGGGATTACTCCATTCCTACCCAAAAGGTTATGGGGGCAATGGTCATGTGATGTAAAATACCTTTGTTTTTTGGCTGGAGGGAAATTAAAACAATTACAAAGCTTTTGTGCTGTTACATTTTCTTGAGTGCTGCTTGAGATGTGGATCCACTGAAGACCTGAATTTGGTTTCAAATTAGTCATTTTAATTCAAATTGGCAGGCTGTATTTGACATATTTTTTCGGGACGTAAGGATGAAAAATAAACCCTGAAGACCTGATGGGACTCCTCGTTAGCCTGCCCTTGCAATGCTTGCCCAAGTTGCAGGGCTGACTGGCCTCCGGCGGGGCTTGGGAGGACCTCTGGAGCGGGGTCAGGCGCCCTCCGGTCTCTGCTCTCTCTAACGGGGCTGACTTTGTGCGCGCAGGAATCGGACGTGGACTGGGACGACCTTTGGGATCAGTTTGAAGAGCGGAGGTACCTGAGTGCCCGGAGGTGGAAGGGCGGCGAGGACCCGTACCGGCTCCATGCCTTTAACCAGCGGGAGAGCGAGAGGATCCCCAGTGACCGCGCTGTCCGCGACACCCGCCATCACAGGTTCTGCCTCCCCCTGGCTCCTCCTGATCTTGCTCACCAAACTTCGTGACAGGGGGACATAGTCCTGTTCCCCTTCAGGGCTGTGGTTTTGGGCTGCCAGTGGGTGCTCTTGGGATTGGGTCTGCCTGCGTTGTATTTCTGGGATTGAGTCTTTCCCTTTGCTTGATTTCTTGGCATGTCTGGAAGTCTTAAGCCTGTTAATTGAAACTGTATAAATTACACCAGGACCATAGGAAAAGAAAGGAAAGGCCTTCATTTTCCCTTCAGAAAAGTAATGGGTTTGCAAGAGCAAGTTTCAGTGATAGGCAAAGTCTTCACTGGTGGTGGGAAGTCTTGCTTTGCAGACGATGCAATGAGGTGATGCAAGTAGGATAAAATAACTGTTAAGGGTTGAAATTGCTCTGCAGAGAGAAGAGTGGGGAATAAGGGGTAATTGCTCTGTGGGGAAAAGAGAAGGGTAATATTTGTTGGGTTGCTAGCTGCTGCAGCACCCACCACTGAGGTAAAAAATATCCTTTGATGCCCAAAGGAACTCTTGGGAAAGGCAGGGAGGGAGGATTGCAGCAATGGTTGCTTGTAGCTGCACTCTCTAGTCAGTGTGAGAAGGGTGGGGTGGGAATTTTGGTGCACCCTTCTTGCTGAGGTGTCAGCTGTAGTCTCCCTTTGGTTGTCTTTCCTAACTCACTGGGGAAGAGCTACCCTTCCAGCTGAAGGTCAGTGGGGTTATTGTTAGTTTGCTGGATGGGGTGCTGTAGGGATGTCTCAGAGGGGAAGGAGAAGCTCCCAAGGTCCCCTCGATCCAGTTTTCTTCCTTGTCATATTAGGACACAGCATGTGCCTGGCCCCTGCTGTCGGTCACCAGTCCACAGCTGGTTGAAAGCTCTTTCTGTGGAGCTGTGCCTGGCATTATGTCCCAACTTGCTGGCAGCAGCTGTCTCTCTAGTGCCTTGTCCTAGGAGCCCTTTTGGACAAGTCCTGCTCTGGTGAGAGCTGTGTGCTGGACCCAGCTGTGGCACCCTGCTGCCCCTGTTGCACCTTCCTCCCAGATCAGAGTGACTCCACTCCTGGCATCTGACCCAACTCTGAACTTCCCCTATTCCAGTTCAAATGCAGCACTCAGGCTGAAATGCTGACACAGCACCAGTTCCCCAGCCCTGTAGCAAGCAATGTGCTTATTTATTTATTTAGCTTCTTTTTGTTGGAAGGACCAGATGCTCCTTTCTCCGGAGAAAAGCTGTCAGCCCTGACGGACGCCTGTTATAGCTGAGCAGAGAGCGAATGTGCTATTCCTGGAGAGAATTAATGCCAGGGATTTTAACCATCTGCCCTATTAAAAGGGAAGATTGGCTCGGTTGCCCCTTGCCTACCCTCACTGTGCGGTGGCAGTCACCTTGTTCCTGGGCGGGCAGGCATAGCACTGAGTGCTCCTGTGAAAGAAAAGTTCTCATTAAGGAGGAAGTGAGGGCACAGCACATGGGAGGGGCTGGGGCTAATTTAATTTGTTTCCAATTTCCTTAACCCGGTAATTGGATTCTGATTTATTGAATATGCCTGAAGAACGCTGCGGATGATGCACCATTAGCCAAGCATTAGAGTGGCCACGGAGGAAATGGAGCTGCCGGCAGATCTGGGGGAGGCAGGCGCTGATCAGGAGGATGGAGGAGGGAGAAGGATCTGGGATTGGTGGTTGAGAGAGAGAGGAAAGTACAGAACTGAGCCCTCTCTGGAAAAGTAATCCTTACTTACAAGCACAGGTGTCCCAGGAGCTGCTGCAGGTGATGCTCAGGCCCTGCCATGCAAACTGGAAGCTGGTCTTGAATTGTGCAGCAGAAATGTGTGGGAAGGCATGGATAGGCATGGCCTGCTCTTAGAGCAAGGAGAAATTGCTGATGGCTGTGCAAGAACATACAAAGGGAATCCAGCATGGGGTTGACTAGATGCCCTCCTGTGAAGGGGAGAGCAGGATTGTGTGGACCAGGCTCCTGTGGGAGAAAGCACACCCACAGTGCTTGTGCTGCATGTCCTACTGGAGGCTTGGTTTCAGTGGAGAACCTGGGTTAAGCTGCTCAGAGTGTCAGGTCTCAATTCTGCTCCAGTTGACTTTGGGGCAATTCAGGACCCCACAAGAAGGGGTAGCAATGTGCCAAGAGGCTCCTGCCCACCTTGTGCGAGGATTTTAGGAGGCTTTGGAGAGGGTCTCGTCCATCATTTCAGCTCACTGCCATTGATAAGCAACTTCTCCTTCAGCCTCTCAGTCAGATGTGCTCTGTTCTGTGACAAGGTTTCCAGTGTGTTGGTTCTCCATCCTTCATTGCCTCTGTATGACGTGTGGCAGCACCAAGATGCATGGACTGTCAGACCATGGTAATGCCCAGAGACCCATACATTATGTCCTAATCCTGGGGACTGGGATGTGGGAATGCTGCTCCTTACAGCTTCTCTGTGGGGTGTTTTTCATTAGGATGGTCGCAGAAAGTTTTTTTGGTGTTTTCTCTGCTAATCCAGCCAAGTATCTGGACTTGCCAGTGATAGCTCAATATACAAAGTCTGGCAAGGGCTGAGCAGCAAGCTCCTTGCCAGGAGGTCATGGAGAGGGCAAATACTTTCAATGGGATAGGATGTGGCACTGACAGCCAGTTGCTTAGCAATGTTTGCTGGATTGATTTTGTTTTTAAATTGCAGCCAGTGGAATAGTTTCAGATGGAAAGGAGTTGCAGTGTTCCAAGAAATCAGAGCAGGAGAAACCGTGGTGGCTCTCTTTGTCTACCTCTGGTTAGTGCAGGGCTATGAACTTCAGCTTGGTTTGTGGGTGATTTCAGCCATGGAACTGTCATGCTTTCTGTGCACTACCTTGTGTCACTTGGCCTGGGAGATCTCACAGCTGGAGCATCGCTCCTGCTGACCTTCCTGTATTTCGCTGCTGTTCCTGGTTGCATGTTGACTAAGCCCTTGGACCACATAAAGGGCTGCCTTTCTCCAAGGAGAAGACCTTGGATGGCCCTGTGGTGGTGCATCCCATGCCCACCAAAACTCAAGGTTAGAACATCTCTGTGATTGCATAGCAGACTGGACCTGGAGCTCGGTGGCACATCCAGACTGTGCACAGCCAGCTCATGCCTCTGGAGTGGGTGGCTAGTCTCCCTCCACCATGGTAGCCACATGCACTTGGGATTACCTCATCCCCACCTCCTACAACTCCCACCGTCAAACTGCGGGACCGAAACGGCAGTGAATGAGTCAGTGCCAGGCGTGAGCACAGGGAGGGGAGAGGAGCTGAGGTTTCCAGTATTGCTCAGCGGCTTGGAAAGCCGACAGGGAGGATGTGTCGCGATCAGCCAGAAGATTTTGTCGTGATGGCTCCTGGGCTTTTTCCATCTATGGCAGACAGCTCCTGGGGAGGCTGGTATTCACCACGCCAGTGCTCCATATGCTGCTTGGGCTGACCTCCGCCTCCCAGTACTCTGCTGGGTTTGATGGATGTGCAGATGCTGTTGTGGCTGCCAGGCTCCGTGGCCGGCACCGGCCTGAGCGGGGGTTTGTGCTGGCTGAGGGTGGCAAAGCAGAGAGGGGAAATCAGGGACAAGGAGAGGAGATGAGAGGCTGGAGGAGAGGTGAAAGCCTCCAGCAGACTTCTCCAGCTATTGCAAATCACATCAGCCAGCTTCAGGCATCTCCCAGTGTCTGTTTTCCTCTATTTGTCTTGCTTTTTACTTCAGCAGTGCCAGTACATGTTTAGTAGTGCTGTCTCAAGAGCTGATAAAGCAAGAAGACTGGGGATGGAGCCCTCTCAAATTCTAGCATAAGACTCATTTTTGAAGTTCCCTCCTTCCCTGAGTCGCAAGTGCTTTACAAGAGGTCCTACCTACCCAGCTGAAGTTTAATTTTACTTAAATCTTGATCTTAGGGATGTGTTTGTGTATGTGTGTGTCTGAAATAGAGAAAGCAGCTGCTAAGATCAAGTTGTGATTGAAACACAGCGCTGGCAGGGATGCTGCAGGCATGAAGATCAGGTGTTGCATTGTCTGCTGAAGGTGAGAGCATCCTGGCAGACCAGAAGCGAGGACCTGCCAACTTGTACCCCATAAAAGCTCTACTATTATAGTGTGTCCTGTTCTCTTTGAGGAGAACAGCACACACTCAGTATTTCCTCCAGGTTTCTTCTCTTAAATTCCTGTGCTAAGCCAGCTGGAGAGTGTCCCTTGGGTAGCAAGGCTGCTTAGGACTGGTTGCTCTGCTCATATGGACTGTTTATGGAGGGATGAGAAGATGCAGGTGATGCCTGTGAGGTTTCCCTAAGGCAGAGCTGCTGTCTTGTATTCTCAAGGTCCAGAAATGTCAGGATTTCAGCCCTTGGGCAGGAGCATTACACACTGCAGTGCTGCTTTGACCCATTAATTTCAGCTTGCATCCCGAGGGTGCAGAGCTTGCACATTCCACGTCACGGTGGAGCAGCTGTGGTTGGGGTAGGCAAAAATACCTGGGTGTGTTGAGTGTGGGGATGACTGGGAAGAAAAGGTGGTCCTGAGAGTCACCTCTGCTGAGTGTGGTACCTGTTACATGGCCTCCTGGGGCTGAGGGTGGCTCTCTGCCGTTCTCTGTGTCCCACTTGGACACGGCTGGTACATGGGAGCGCATGTTGGCATCCCTGTGCGGATGACAAGAGGGCAGCTGTGGCACATGCAGGCTCTGGAGTGGCTCCATTTTTGGGTGAGTTGATGATTGCTGCCCAGGAGTGGCGAGTGCTGAGAATATGGTGATATCTTCTTGGGAATGAGGAGTTGAAGTGGAGAAGAGTAGGTTCTGACATCTTTGCCTTTGGTGTTCAGGATGTTTATGATGCCCTTAGACTTCTCACATTGCATCTCTTCTTCAAACTTCCTTTCCATCCAGACCAAAACTACTTTGAGGTTGTTCTTGAGGTGGACACTGGGTCTCAGGGAGCTCCACACTGGGATTTAAGCATCTTACCTTTGTTGCTTGGTTTCTTGAGAGTCCCCAAA